CAAGGCACAATCTTGCAAATGCTACTCGTAAATGGTACTTTGACTTACCAGTCAAAACAAAACAATCACATCAAGCGCAGACAACTGGCGCTATCTTTCATCTTCCAGCTACCTCAGCCGCGCCCGCCGCCGGTCCTCACTGCTTGCTCGGGCCGCGCAGACTGCGGCTCGGCCGGCTGGCTCTGAACGCCGCGCCGGCCGGTGACACTGACGTCACGGCCCCTCCGGCGAGGTCAGGGCGGCCGCCTCCGCTCGACACTGGCTGCCGGCGTGGCTCGCTGGCAGCCGCGGATAACAGCCGCGTTTACATAGGGATAGGGATAGTTGCAAGCCTCTAGCTCCGCCTGTGATGTTGCAAAACATGCCAATGACGCTTTGCAATTTACACAATGATCTCATCTAAATGTACGAAAAGTACGACATTAAAATTATCGCAGAAGAAGTGAGCAACAGCCCCGACAAAAATGCTATGTAACCGGGCATATTGTTTGGGTGGCAGGGAGCCGGATTTGTGCCGGACTTGGCGGTCCGAAACCATACTAACTCCGGAGCGCTATACGGCAAAGACTGGCTAACCGGAGTCACCGATCAAATTGATACCCACCCGCCTTTTAACTATATATATATATATATATATATATATATATATATATATATATATATATATATATATATATATATATATATATGAGAGAGAGAGAGAGAGAGAGAGAGAGAGAGAGAGAGAGAGAGAGGGAGAGAGAGAGAGAGAGAGAGAGAGAGAGAGAGAGAGAGAGAGAGAGAGAGAGAGAGAGAGAGAGAGAGAGAGAGAGAGAGAGAGAGAGAGAGAGAGAGAGAGAGAGAGAGAGAGAGAGAGAGAGAGAGAGAGAGAGAGAGAGAGAGAGGTATCAGAATTTACTTGTAAAAACACCGCTAATTATTCAGTACCTATAATGTCAAGGTTGTGAAAAACCGTTTTAACAACGTGTTGGCGACCACCAGCTGACAGCGTGAACAGTCCTAGTGTTAAAACATGTCAAATTTAACGATGAAAACTGAAAATGCGCATTGGAAGTCAAAGGAAATGCATTATATGGCCATATATGTCACCATGCATTATCAAAATATAATGTTACAAGTGCGCGGTTGCTGCAACGTACCAATAAAACGTTGTCACAACGCTTTACCACAACTTTAGGACCAAACCATGGCTTCACAACGTTCAGAACGTTGCTAGAACGTAATTAAAACGTAATTTCGCAACTTACCGAAACACGACGTTGTGACAACGTTGCACTAACGTTTCCTGTTAGCTGGGTAGGCAGCTTTACCACGCCATTTGTAAGCTCCCCTCCCGAAATCACTTTTCGAAACCGTTATCGTGACGTAAAATAAATACATTTATCGAAAGAACACCTTCCTAATTTTTTGCACCTACTTCTTAACAATGAGCCAAATATTTTTTTAAAGAAATAAAAATTCAAAAAAATTTGGTCCCAAAGTCCAAAAATACAAATGAAAGAAAACTCGATATGTCATATATCAAAAATAGCGTATTTTTCGAAATGTCAAAAATACATATTAACCCGCGCCCCACTGGGGGGGGGCTATTTATAGCCCCCCTCCCGTTTTTCTGCAATAACTTCCAAACCGCTTGACGTATCGACGCCAAACTTTCAGTACCTTCGGCTGCATCAATTTGACACCTTGTGTCAAAATTTTATGTTCGTAGCTGCCATAGGTCGGCCGGAAATGACGTCAGAGTGACGTCATGTTCGGCCGATTTCGACGCAAAACATTGAACCACAGCAATCGCTCCCAAGAGCTCAGTTTTTAAGCTAGATCCAATTTCTTTGCATGAGAGGACTCAGAATAGACTGCGCTATCAAACTGCTATGTCGGATTTTCGAAATTTTGAAAATTTTGAAAATTTGATATAATAAAATCCAAAATTTATATTTTTACATTTTTTTCAAAAAGTTTTTGACTTTTCGAAAAAACCGGAATATATGTGATAGAACGCATTATCATGACTAACTCTAGCAAGTTTTAGCTAAATATCTTCAAAAATGGCCAAGTTTTACGCATTATTGCAAAAAATTCACAATTATTAATTTTTCAAATCAATTTTTCAGCACGTATTTGACATCGTACGCCAATATAAATAGCACCATCGTGTTTCTGAGCTCAAACTGCATCCAATAGACACCTTTTTTGTTGAAAAATGTTAACTTCAAAATTTGACCTTTTTTGACCTGAAAGTGACCTGACCTAAGCTAAATTCGACTCAAAATGACCTCGAATGACACAGACGACATCACATTCGAAATCTCTGGACTAAATGGACCATAAAACATGTGTCACGTGACCGACGCATGATATAATATTTTCGTGACCTGTGATGACCTGACCTTGACCTGAAAATCAAAGTATAAGTTTGGTACCCTCGGGGTATCTAGAGCATCTGTTCACGAGTGTGTGATCCAAAAATGAGCCTGATCTGCCTTGTAAGACGGCGGCCAGAGCCCAAAACGTGAACAAGCAAAATGCTAATAATTTTTATTTTGACCTGACCTGTGACGTCATCGGTGACCTCGAGGTCAATGAAATTAGGTTTCGCTCGACAGTTTCTCCGGGGCTATCAGACGCCGTTTGAATTTTGACGATCGGCCCAGTAGTTTCGGAGTTAGGAGGGGGGGCTATGAATAGCCCCCCCCCCCCCCAGTAGGGCGTGTTATACGCAGACCCCAGTGGGGCGCGGGTTAATCTCTGTTTCATTCCCAGTAAACATGCCGACGTCGGCCCGACATCGGCCGACGTCGGGGTGACGTCGGCAACTCGGCATCAGCATCGGCATGCTGACGTCGGCCCGACGTCGATCCAACCTCGGCACGACGTCGGCTGGATGTCGGATATGCCCGCATCGTCCAGCCGAGGTCCAGCCGACGTCGGGCCGACGTCGGACCGAGATCAATTGCTGAGGTCCAGCCGACGTCGGGCCGACGTCGGACCGAGATCAATTGCTGAGGTCCAGCCGACGTCGGGCCGACGTCGGGGCGACGTCGGACCGACATCGGCCGCTGTTTTGACCGTTAAAATAATATAAAATACATGTTTCATGTTTCATAAAGAGCTTCTGTATTCAAAATATCCTCAGGAAACTCAAATCTTCCTCCACGCCGCAACCCCCTGATCCGGACTGGACGGGAAACTTTATCCCATTTGGGATTGCCCGTAAGCCGAGCTCGCCCGTAGCCGGGTGCGGTGAGTGCTTGGGGGCTGCTCGGCCTATCCTTTGGTCAGGCTCAGCCCCGGCAACTCACCAGGGCCGGGCCCAGTTCATATAGAAAGGCCAGTCGGCAAGTGTCACTTTGCCAAAGTGCCACTTATCAAAGGGACACTTTGGGAAACGTTGGTGCAGGTGTGTAAGAGTGGCTATATGAATCCATTGTGGGGTCGCTCTTTCCAATAAGTGTCACGTAACAGCAATGGGACCAGGGACTCTATATTAACTGGACCCAGGGTGCTCGCCAAGAAGACCAATGTCTCCATCCTATCATCCTTCCGGCTCTGAAATGGTCTTGTCAGACCGAAAGGGCATAACACAACAAAACAAACTAAGTTCGATATATGCCTGCGTGGTGTAGTGGTTAGCGCACTTACCTCGCGTTCAAATGACACGGGGTTCGAATCCCATCGCCGGCTGATGCTTCTGGCGTGTTGTCCCAGTAAACATGCCGACGTTGGCGACTGGGGTGCTCGAATCCCGCCGCTGGTTGATATTTTTGGCGCGTTGTCCCAATAAACATGCCGACGTCGGCCCCGTCGGTCCAACGACAAACGATCTCGTCAACCTCGGCAAACAACCTCGGCCCGACGTCGGCTCGACGTCGGCTGGACTTCGGCTGGATGTCGGAACATGCGGGCATATCCGACGTCCAGCCGATGTCGGGCCGAGGTTGAACCGACGTTGGGCCGACGTCGGCATGTTTACTGGGTTGCAAGTTCAATGTTATATAATGTTTGGCATTTGAATAATCCGTCTTAGAGTTACAGCCCGCTAAACTTAGCGCTGCAAAGCAAGATCCAAAAAATGTTATACACCATAACTCAAAAAATACTGATCTAATAAGCCTGAAATTAACCCGGTTTACATAGCATATTTGACGAGGCTCTAGCTCATTAATTTGGCGATAATTTCGATGCAGTGGTCTTCAAATATTTAGAGGGGATCATTTTGTAAATTGTTCAGCACCATTGGCATCTTTTGCAACATCACGGACGGAGATACAAGCTTGCAACAAACCCTATGTAAACGCGTCTAAATTGTCACAGGTGGATTCAGAGCCCCTGGCCCCTGCCCCTGAGACCAATTCTCGTCAAATTCCGAGAGATGAGGATGTCAAATTGGAAAAAATGGTACGATCTATCGTGGAATGCCCCCTGTAAAAGTAACCCTGACCTACTAGTAGGTACCCTTAAAACCCGCGAGACCTGTACGCTAACTTCCGAACCACTTTCCTACGCACACGAGTGACTCAATTAAAAAGTGGCGGCTCTAGTGCTGAGAATGTCCAAGTATGCTGTTATCTATGATGCTGTTTGTCGTTTTTTGGAAGACAGCAGAATTTTCAAATACGTGATCTTCAATATTATTGTTAGGTTTATTGAAATTAGAAAAAGCATAAACATTCGATAAGGGCTCGGAAACTGAACAGCTGAGGCTTTATTCCAAAATTACCTTTCTATATGCCATCTCTATATCACGAAAGCTAGAGCTGGAAGCGAGGTCAATGGTCCTTCGAAACAAGTTAGAGTACTTGTGTTATTTTTTATGTAAATGTGCCTCTTTAGGTATATTTAATGTTATTACTATTTTTTATGACATATTTGTGAGGAAATATCAATGTTTTAAAGACTTTTACCAAAAACAGCACAAAAGAAGTAAGTACTCAAACAACGGATAAACAAAGGTAAGTACTGTTGTCCATCACAGTTACTCGAAAATGGTGATTCTTGTTATTGCTGTGCAAGAGATAGAATGGAAATGGATTGCTGAAAATGGGTGCAGTGTTAGAGCTTCAATCGTTCGCAATTTTCTTGATGATAAGGTTTGAATTGCTGTTACGTTTCGTTTGACTGCGTTTATAAGCTCGGTGAGTCTTCCAGGAGCTCGTGGACGATGAGGTGTGGTGCGCACCGCATTTGGCTTGCAGAAGTTGTCCCTTGTCACCATGCTTTAAAGGAAATAGTTCACTTTTTAACATGGGTTTTGAACTGGAATAGCAGTTCCGTAGCTTGGGCTGAGACGAGCATAAATCAGGAGCTTTTACAGCCCAACGATCACCCTAGGCAAAGATATTCTATTTCTCGTCCCGAAAAAGGTGTCTTGCGTTGAGGATGTGTGCCTTGCATATATTTCCATCCAGTATGAAAAGAGCATGGGTCCCGAAAATTCTTCAGAAACTAGAGAAATTATCTACGAGAACTCTAGAGAAATTCTCGTACTGATCAATTAGGACATTCAGGGGAACATTATCAGATCGAGCAGATCGCCCAAATGTCGGTGGCTGCGATAATTTCTCTGTTTCTGAAGAATTTTCGGGACCCATGCTCTTTTCATACTGGATCGCGTGTGCCTTACAGAAACTGAAAAGTTCTTCCTATATCAAAATATAGAAAAAAAATCTTTTGTTATCAAAAGGTTTTATTTTCTTTGCTGATTATTTTGAACATAAAAAATAATAAATCGTTGCAAAAAAAAATAATTTCGTGAAAGTGAACTATTTCCTTTAAATGGCTCTCTCTATCGTCTGGAGGTTTCGAAAGATGCTCTCCAGGTCCAGAGATGGCGCTAGTAAATTTGGCTGACATGACGTCATGCTAAAAAGTGATGGGTTTTGTGAGAGCAAATGTAATAATAGTTGAAAATTTTGTACTTTTGCTTAATTAAGAAAAATAAATATACAATTGTTCAAAACAGTGTTTTCCTCATTCAACCTTCATTGTTTTAAGAGGAATATAGACAGTTTAAATATTTTTTCTTGACTGCAATTCGCACACGCACTAAATTAAAAGCTGGAGTTTTGTGCGTTCGTAAATCGTGATTTGAGAAAATAAGTTGACAATAATCTTTTGCACTTTTGCTTTACAATCATTTTTCAATGCAGATAAATGCATAAATTATTCGAAAAAAGGCATATCTTTGAAATATTATGATTTTCCACAAGCAAATTTTCCCAAAAACTTGAACTACTTACAACTGACGAACGCATCCAATAATCTGGATGTCTTAGGATGAGTTCGTCATTTTTTTCCAAGGAAATACGATACAGTTCAAGCTACTTTACCGATTTATTAGGGTACTTTTGCCAATGAATTAATAAATAAATGACAACAATCAATCTCATTATCAACCATACTCGGAAGAATTTTCTTCGCATAAGCGCGAACACATCCGCGCTTTCATGAAAAGTCACGCCTGTAGATGTCAGGACTGCTGCTTTATGTTTCGCAAGGTGGCGCAGCGCGCAGGGTACCGACTACCGAGGCTGAGGTCTCCAGACTCTCCACCACGATTTAACTTGGAAATGGCCGATGGGGAAGGTCTCACCCAAAAACGGACGCCCTTTTACACAACTGCATAAAGAGAATGAATTATTGGCATAGCTGACCACACGTCCCCTCCCCCTCTCCGCCCCAGCTCAATAGGAAATATCGCCTATTTTCCTTAGTCAGTTATATTCTGACTAATTTCTCACTCTTCCCAGTACACCTTAACATGCATGATGCAGATGTCCACTGCGTAAGTCGTGTGCTTCCGTAAGTGTGCCAACTGTATAGTGTTGCCTACACTCTACAGTGCCTACTGCTTCCCCATTGTCGTTATAATTGGTGATTCTCAGGTCAAAAGTTACACAGTGGTCTCAGAGAACAATCGTTTCAACAAATTAACGATTCAAACCGTTGCATTCTACTGATATTCCGGTCAGTTCTGCTACTAAACGATTCCGGCAAAACACTCTTTAGGTTATGTATTAGCGAACCACCAAACAAAATTCGCCCAATCAATGGTCAGTTATTACTGCTGGGCTGAACCGTCATACGCTATATAGCCTATTGCAGTCAATATTTTCAGAACGATACTGACTGACGAAACACAACGTATTCGCGGATTCGCACATACGTTGGCACCCAGGTGGCCTGTCAGCAGCCGCACAAATCCGCACAGCGCAGCCGGGATTTGACATTGAGATGGTACACCGTAAAGCATGCCTTTCCACACAGGCACAAGCACAGGGACACAAATTCTCAAAATCCAAACTTATTCCAATACTGGTCAATTACGAATAGGCATAAAGTTTTGAGGTTTTCTCATGTTCATTCTTCTTTCAACACACGCGGCAGACTGCAGCAGCTGCAGAACATCTCACAGAGCTGCGCTGGATGCAGTCATGAGCTGGGACACGGTTTGTGACCACTGACCAATGACCGATCGGGGGTGCCAGCCTCCTCCCGGCACGCGATGCACTGGCCGCCGCGCAGTCGATGTCGGGGCACCGCCGGCATTCGCCGACAGGGTTCCATCCGATTCGGTGTATTGGTGGCAGCCCGAACAGTGACCCACGCGAAGCTGGCGGACGTCGATGGCCGATGAGCGATGCCCTTCCGCGACCGGCGGTGGCAGTCGGTCCCACATCAAGAACAGATACCAGTCATGCGGTCAGTCGGCGACGGCGCTGTCGCGAGCCGATCTGATGGTCGCGCGGTGGGCGTTGCCGACGTCCACCGGGACCGTCGACTGGGGGAGCGCGGCCGCCTCTTGGCCGCCGCCTCTGGTCGGCGAGCTCGTTGCGCTGTGGGACGGCATCCACTGCAAGTCGTTCACTGTGAAGCGGTCGTTTGACCGGACCTGGCAGGCGGGGAAAGGGGGCCTCAGATGAAGTAAAACCATCCCTCAGGCCAGCTTGAACTGGCTCTCCACCTCACCATGTTAGATAAGCGGACACCCTCGTGATCATTGCAGCGATGATTGCCAATTGGTGTGTCATTATGGGAGAGGATGCCAGCCTCCTTTGCAAGATAGTCTGCCTTTAATATAGTGCAGCCCGACCCATTGCCTGTGGCGCAGACTGGGCTTGATAATGCAGTGCAGGACACACCAAACGTAAGCGGCCATCTGTACCCCCTGTGCAGTAGGGCTGACTCAAGAGCCCAGAGTTGCCCTCCCCCCACCATTCTGTGCACGTGATAACTGGATGGGACATGCCATGGTCAGCATCTGTTCAAAAGCTGCCCTAAGCATGTAAAGCTCCACTGGCATGCTCAAGCATGGTCACAGTCAGTTCTCACTTCTCAGTTGAACCTCCAATGGAAACCCATCACAAAGTAGAGATCAGGGCACCTCTCACACTGCAGCACACTTAACAACTGAGGCACCATCTCATCACTTGCAGGTGGTTCTTGCCAGGAGCAATGCCAGCCACGCACATCAGGTGATAACAGCAGTGTACAACTGCAATCTACAAGCATCCATGTTCTTTCTGGTTTTCTCCTGTTGAGATCCACTGCCATGCATGAACTTGATGGGCTTTTGTTGCGCTCCTCCCATGTGCAGACAGGTTTCTGCTGAAACAAAGCAAAGCAAATGTGATTAATAATGGCCCTGTTTCACCATCCAGACACTGTGTGCACTGGTAGCTACGGCATACCATAGCATCACTCAAATGACGTTGCATGTGATCTCTTAGTTTATGATCAATCGCGTTTGGAACAGAGTGAGAGGTTCTGAAGAACCGTACCAAGAACAGAGGTTTGAGTTCAAATACTGCTAGCATGCTGCTGGTGCTGGTACCGCAGCGTGCAGCGTTCTGGGATGCTGTCATAGCTTAGCGTCACAGTGAAGTTTGTTGACACTGCCATGGAAACCCAATGCTCTGACACACGCAGCGCACTGCAGTGCTGAGCACTGCAGTGCGTGCTCTGCCGTGAAACTCCACCCATGAACGTTGGTTGCATGACCAGGATGGAGCAGTGTGGCAGACAGTGATTTTAATTTTAATTGCACTTCCTAGAGATTAAAATGTTGTTGGTGAAATTGCTATTCATTATTCCTATTACTATTGTCTAAATTTCACATTTCAAGACAGTATCAGCATTGACATGTTATATAAAATAAGGTTTAGACTTCAGGTGGTCCCGGGTTCAGCTATTAAGTAAAACAAGGGCAAAAAATTGTCAAAATTTAAAAAAAATACCTGCCTTCATCAACACCTCATCTAATCTAACCTCATCCTCATCTAACAAGGCCCTAAAAGCAAAAACCGTTTGAATAACAATGCAATATTTTGCAACCGCTGCACCATTACTGTCACGTACGCTATCCCTAGATTGGTTGCTGGTAAGTAGTGGTTGTCGTCATCAACTCGTCATGCAGCAGCTGATTGGGATGGGCGGGGCCTATTTTTATCCAGGCGATAGAGAGAGCCCTTTAAATCTATGCTACACTGGCATGCAATCCCATTAGTTACTGTTTTTCAATTTCTTCAGGGTTTTCGTCCGCGTTTTTATGTTCATCTCAGTCAATGCATTGCTGGCGCTACACTGCCAGCCAGTGGCGGATCCAGCGGGGGGGGGGGCAAAATGGGCATTTGCCCCTCCCAAACGGCATAATTATAACATAACGCCTATGGACGAGGCATGGAAAGAATCGATAAATTGTTATGGTTTGCCCCCCCCCCCATAAAAAGCTCTGAGCTGGATCCGCCACTGCTGCCAGGCCAAGGTTGGTGCTACTTGGTACCTATGATATCCCTTTAAAAACCAGTGTCCCAAACTTTGTAACTCTGGGTGGTAAACGACATCCAAAGGAGAATTGTTTTCCACTCTCACTCCCACTTTTGATAGCTTTTTTAACTCATTTTACAGAGACAAAGCATTTGCGAGAATGACCTTTTCCATCCCACAATCTATTGCTCCTGTATATAAATTCATGCTTTTGATCCTTTTTCCACCTTTTATGGGCCCACCTAACCTGCAATTTCACTTTCATCCCTTTTTGGGTGAGGATCTTTTTCCTCTGGCACCCAACTGAAAAAAATATTTTTGGAACATTGCTAAAAAGTGATTTGTCATCGTGATTCATCATCATCGCAAG